TATATACGGAGCAGTTGGTGACTCCAGCCTCATAATTGCTTATTTATGAGTGCCACAAGAGAGATGTCCTGAAGTGGATTAACCTGTCCCTTCCTCAAGAGTTTGCTTTTATTCTGACAATCAGGTCCTCAACCTTCTGGGGTATGGTTTGCTACTATAGCACAAAACAAGGTAGCATTGCTGCTAGCAATGCCTAGAGCCTTAATGTAATTGTAAGGTACTATTGACTATAGGATAGCTGCTGAAGTGCTATAATGCCATTCAAGCACTCACAGAAGTTTATAAACACATTACCTACATGTCTTTTGAATAGATGAGGAGTTTTTTAAAATAACACGTGCCATAATATCTACTTCAATTCCACCCTTTAGGCTATAACCGTTTCCACATGACAGATGTATTCTCTTTCACTTCCCACTTACTTATTTGTGTAAGTCAAGTGTCCAGGCAGCCTCTGTGGCCTGATAAATGGGACTGGGTTGTCACCCCGAGTGATGACATAGGACTAGTTTGCAGATACGTCTCAAAATCAGGACCTGCAGGCACTTAGGTCTGCTGTTTGGTTTAAGTTGCTGCTAGAGTAATTTGTTTGCATAGGTAGAAGAGTGTCCAGAGGCTAATAAGTATTTTTTACCAAAATTGTTTTGTTGTTTTTTTCTTCACTAAAAGACAATCGCACTAGTCACCAGCAGCCTCCTCCCCTCAACAAACCTCTCCCGACCATGCCCAGTCCCGCCGGGTCCAGACCAAAGAAACCGTCCAAGCCATCGTTGCCAGCTCAATCTACCGCGTCCAAACCAAAACTACCACCAAAGCCTAAGGAGTGCCACGATGATGAGGTAATGTTCATAGGCAGACTGACCTGTTTCCATTGTTTAAATGAACGATGGCCCTACTGCAATTGTGGGGTAGAGCACACAGCAGTTCCACATGCTGCTCGCAATACCTGCTTCTCCGTCCACGACTCAAATCATTTCTTGGCTCACAAGCAATGAGCTGCAAGTACCAGGCTAAATCCTAGTTGATTTGTGCTTACTTAAGTGTCTGTGGCAGTCATTTAGAGCACAGAATAGTTCCTGCTCATATCCAGAGCAAGCTGCAGGCAACAGAGAGCAGCCTTGAATCTTACAGCACAAACAAAGGGACGTTGGAGTTTAGTGAAGGGCTGTAGTTGGAGTTTAGTGAAGGGCTTTCAGAGAATCCCATCCATATAGTGTGATAAATGTCTGAAATAGCAGTCACTGTGAAATGGCAAGTATTGTGAGCTGCTGCCCACACTTCATTCACACATTCATTGAAGTGAGGCAGGTTTAACCAGTTGACTTCTGCCCTGCGTTCCTCATAGGACAACTACATCGTGCCAGTGGACAACGATGATGATAACTATATCGAACCTACGGAAAGCAGCACCTCACTACCGACAAGGCGTGAGTTTTAATCATTTACGGTGACAACTGTTTATTACCTTAATGTTGGGAACAACAGTGCTAAAAACAGGTGGAATTGATGCCTATTTTTAGGGTTCAAAGAGAGGAAGTGCAGCTGCTGAAGGGAGCACAACCTGCAAGGGGAGTTGTTGCCTTTTGCCATAACAGCTCTTTGTCAGAGCCATGTTTAATTCCTACCTCTCTCATTCAGCTATTTCAAAGTTCAGCCCAGGCACATCAAGGATATTCTGCATGGCATGAGACCTCTCTCCTCATTCAGGAGTGCTGCAGAAATATAATTCTGTTTTCTGAGCCTTTAGGCTTTCAGTAAAATAGAGACTTTGATTAATTTTTTTTCTAAACATCACTATCTGAACTATATTTATCTGGAGAATGAAAACACAGTCCTATAGTGAAAAATAAATAGAGAGGAGGATGTAGTTCTGCTCTCTGACATTGCTGACAGCATTGGATCTAGTCAGCAAGGCAAGAACACTGTGGATAGTTTCCCTTCTAAAATGAGAGCTTTCTTTCTGCCTTGGTTGACTTTTCAAGGTCACCCAAGGAGAGAGCAGGCTATCACTAGGACCTTTTAATGTTTATTCTTATTGCATAAATGTTACTTTAAAAATGCACGTATGTGTGCATACACATGGCTGGATGGGTACACACACATATCTGTATGTATGCATATCTCTTTTTAGCTCCTGTGAATAGATTTGTGAAGCCAACAACAAAGTCAACCTTCCCCACTTCTGCAAAGCCTTCTCTTCCTGCGGACACGCAAGGTAGGTGGATATTTTGTATCACCATTTAAATGGCATAAAACAATGAACAGGATTGAATTACACTTCATGTATTCAAAATATAGACCATATGGCATACTTCTGCAAAATAAAAGTATGCTCCCCTCAGGTATTTTTGTTTTGTAGCAGGTTTTTTGCCTAGGTTTAACAGTAAAACTGTTTTAATAATGAATAAATCTGGAACAAGCCATTTTCCCCAAACTAAATTATTTTTCATTTTCTGCTCTAGAAAAAGTACTCGATTGGATCAATACAACTAAAATAATTACAAGACCCAGTATGTTGTTAATCTCCTTACCGTGTAGTAACCAAGACTCAATATTTTAAAATCACATCCAGATTCAATCTTTATGAAATTTTGTATAAAACTGCTGTTTTGCACACCCAGCATAACAGCGTTCCCGTTTGTAAGTTCTGTAAGAAGTGGTTATTTGGGAAAAGAAACAAAAGCTTTGGAAAGAGCAGACCTAATTGCTTAATCTCTCTTAGCTGCCGTGTTTCCTCATCATAGTACTAACTTCTTGGAAAGGAACCTTTGCAAACAGTTAACTCAATTCTTCAACAGGCTGTGCTTATTCACCAGTATGTTCAGCTTTCAAGTCATATACTAAAAGTTTTTTTTCTGCATTAACTTAATTTTGTCACATACTCCTAAGACGTTTTTAATACCCTTTCTATCTTCTGTAAATCAGGTTTTGACCAACAACCATCTCTTAACAGAATTGTCACTGAAAAAATAAAACGCCTCCCTCTAGTGGGTGCCTAAGCACTTCTCAGCACAGGAAAAGCAATGAAGCCTGACATGAAATTTATTGAAGTGTAGTTCAGTTTTCATTGAAGGAAATAGACGTAGATGAAGATGCTAGTGATTGTTGCTTGTAACATCCATTAATTAAAACATATCTGTGAGATGGAGCTCAGAGATTGGCACTAGCAACACAAATGAGTCAGTTTGGATTGGATTCACTTAATAGCGGGGTGGTTCCTATTCAAAGAATATGGGTGCAGCTCCCTTAGGGCTTAGGGTCTGTGAAATTTCAGAGTGGGCAGAATCGAGCTTTGGGGCCTTCTCTAAACCATTTTTCAGTGCAATTGATAATAAACTCAAACTAGTTTTCCTGCTAAGGAAGCCCGTGCTGCATTTTGTTAACCAAGGGATGTTTTTTCCTCCCTATCCTGCAGAAGTCTATGAGGTTCCTGAAGAAGAGGTAAGGCCCCTGTTCATTTTATGGCTCATGTTCCTCTCTGTCTATGAGGGAAAATATAAACGTGATTGGAAAGAAGAGGGGAAAAAGAAAATTACCAACCCTTCCAAGGGTAAAAATGGGGAAAAATCTCCATCTGCACTTAGAATGTAGTGGCAAAACAGAATATATGGGGAAGGCTTGGCCTTTCCTAGTCCTGTGTAACAGTGGTCAGTCTGGGAAGCAGCAGCCTAAGCACAAGAGGCAGCAAAAGGAACGATGACACTTCTGACACAGTCATTTTCTCCTCCTTGCACTAGTGACACGACACACGGTCTAGCAATGCCCTTAAGGCTTCCCGTTTTTGTGTTGAGGTATAGACATCCACAGCTCTGCCTAGTAATCGGCACCAAGATGGCATAGGCAGGAATTTAGCTCTAGGAAATCTCAATTATTGCTATGATGACAAAAATTTTGTCATACAGATGTACTTTATGAAATGTAAGGATAACCAAACAATTTGATGTGCTTTCTCTTAAAGGAAAAACCATCACCAGTAAACAGGTAATCCATTGCTATGAATATCTGTACATTACTTGACATACTTATTTGCATTACTTGAAATTTGCCAGAAAAACATTTTCTCATCTGTAATAATGTAATTCAAAATAATGTAATTCATTTCTCTGTTAATTTTAATAACACCAGAGTCATATATGGGGGGGTGTGTGTGTGTATATATTATAAAGAAATCTCTCTTAAGGGTATTTTTAGGATTCTGAGGGGATGGGGAGGATAATTTTTTTATTATTATTCATTATTTTTTAATAAAATTTTCCTTTCTGAATTAATGTTTTCTTGCTAGGTTCACTAAGCCCCTTCCTTCTACGACCACTCAGAATACAGAGCGCTCCCACATGCTCAGCGGGTCTCCGAAGCTGGACACTTGCAGGTGAATCAAAAGCAGCTCATGCCCATAACTAACATGAATGGGGATAAACTCCTCTCTCTGTGCGCACTTCAGAGAATGAACATCGTCAGGACACGTCCCCAGAACAAGCTGGGGATGGTGGGACAAGTTTAAAATGAAAGTTTGGGCTTCCTTGTCAACTTCCATACTTGAACCAGTTTGCCAGACTAGTACTATAACCTTGAATATAGTTTTAGGGATGGGGGGCAGGAGTAAAACCTCTATGCAAGCCAGTCTCAAGTCTTGTTGTTGGTCTCTGCACCCCTGCTAACATGCCCTGGCCTTTGCAGAGGAGGGCTGATAAAGAAGCCAGACATGCCTGGTAAATTAACAATTTATATTCCAACTCCCTGGAGGAAAAGAGGGAAATAAACCTGGAGAAAGTAGCCTGTTTCACTGCAGGAGTGTAGCTGGTTGGTAATGTCCAGGACATCCCTGTCCAAAACAGCCCACGTGCCAGGAAGAGCAGGTGGCCCCTGTAACGCTGCATCGCGTGGGGTGTTTGGAGAGCCAAGAGGCTCCTCTACAAGAGCTCCACGCTGCGGGCAAAGAGTGGTTACAAGTGTGTCCGGCTGCGCCCTACGTCTGGATACTGCAGCCCTCATCTTCTCTAGGTCTTGAAATACATATCTGAGTCGAGCAATAATGGGGGAAAAAAAAAAAACAACACTCAGTTTAACCTATTCTCTTTATTTTCCAGAAATATTGTGCCTCTTCCCAGAAATCGTCTTCATCCAAAAGCAGTGAGTAACTTATGTGCTGCTACAGAAAAACCTGCCAAGCTTTTCCAATATCTGTGTTATATCTGGGTATTTTTTGTTGTCTGGATTAGGTAACAGGAACAGAGGACTACTTTGCTTTTCAGGTTGCTCTAACAGTGAAATGGTGCACTCTAATCTTTCGGGAAAAAGAAGCATATTTATCATCCGTATGAAAATGAAAAAAATTCAGTGGTTCAGTGGAAAAAAATACGTGGTTTAAGGAATAAGTCTAATAAACCTTTGTACTAAAAAAAGCCAGTGCCACTCCAAGAGCCAGTAGCAATGCATGATTTTGTCCAGCCTGAAGCACCTTTTTTCAGACTCGTTCATATTTGGATAATGAAGGATTCATTCTCATTTTCTACATATATTTTTAAACTGAGTCTTCCTATGACATCTCAGACTGAGAAGTCTGAGTAATCAATATGACTTGAAAATGCACTCCACAAAGCAGTAATTACAGGTTTTGGATTTCCTATGGTGTGTTGGCCATCCTTTTTTACCTTTATCCTTGTCCCAACTCTGCCCCCCTCAATATGCAAGAACAAAGGTTTTATGAAGCAAACGAGTTGGAAATGTACCTAATTGAGCAGCAAATGGGTAAAAGCAAACACAGCAAAGGTGTCTTTTTTTCTGCCAGATTAGTTCCTTAAACTGTTCTGTACCACAGCTTCCCTAACGTCTACGAGCACCAGAGTGAGTGCACGTCAGGAGCAACTACCAGGCATCAAGGTGGTAGTAACTGCATCGGCAATACTGCCAAAAACTACATGCATCGAACTCTGTCCCATCCCAGTGCCAAATTCTGGGTCTCTTGCAAAATTTTTACATTCCAGATCAGTAGTTAAACATGCACCAAAAGATTCTACTGCAAAATTTTGGGTCACGTTTCTCTAGGCTGCATGAAATCCCAAGCTGCTTATAACACCCAGAAATTTGCTAAAATATTTTTAATTCCCTGGTGAAAACTGGTTAAAAGGTTGATGAATGTTATTTGCATTCTCTACCAATATTTTTTAAAGAATAGAGTTTGCCAAGAACAGATTATTTAGGCACCTTCTATTATATAACTATTTATTTTTTTTAATTGCTCCTTGCAAGATCTAACTCTTTTTTTCCCAATTTCAGGACCGTGAGGCAAATGATAATGAGGAAAGTAAGTATCCTGTTTTGAAGACGTGGTGATATGAGAGGCATTTGTTATAGTAAGTGTGATGGGTGACCTTAACACCGCATGCAGTGGAGTGTGTCGGTGTCATTTCTGTCCTTATCCGCCAGCAAAGAGGAAGGCCATTGAACTGTTTTCTAGTTTAACCAGCATTAGAACATGTCAAGAGGGACTTTAACCAAAGGATATGTTTTTGTACTTTTATTACTTTAATGGCTGTGCCATTGCAGTGTGGGCCCTTAGAAAACACATTGTTTAGATGCTGCTAATACTATATACTAAATGTATCATATGAATTTCTAGGTCATGGCTTCAATAGCACTCAGGAGTCCAGATTTCCCGCTGGAGCAGCTCCTTCTCCATTACCTAGGGTCATGTGAGTAAAGAAAGTCCAAGTACTACTTGGAGAGGAATGGGGTTAAATGTTCACAGTACTAGAAGCACGATCCTATCCTTGCCTGTGGCAACCAGAATCGATATGTTTCATGAACATAACAAAAGCGAGCCGGGATCACTGCTGCCATGCCATCCATGGGTATTCCTGCAGGAATACTGTTGGTATGACAGTGCTGTGGCCCTGCACGGCCTGCTACTGGTGGCAGATGCTCACTGGCTGGCTTAATGTAGTCCCATGCGGCAGCAATGGCACACGCACACTCATAACTGCAGATAGCTGGGGCTGCTTCTCTTTCTTGAAACTTTTCCATCCCACCAAAGTTGCCTTCTTATGCTTTGGATAGATTGTACTATTTTGTTGTTTGTTTGTTTTTTTTTTTTTTTTTTTTTTTTTTTACTGCTGCCAGTGTCCAATAAAGAGCTCTACAACACCTTTGCCAAAAGCATCTTGTGTATCAATGAGCCTGATGCTCAATGGTGCTAAATGAATTATATGCATCTGTTAAGTAACCACACTCTTTTTCTTTCAATTTGCAGAAAGAAAACTTCTAATGCAATAAGTCCAGCAGTAAGTTGATTCATAATTGTATAATTATGTGGTAATTCTAAATGTAAATTTAATTTTCTTGCAAGACGCAACTTGATCATAAACGTGGGTACAACATAAAAGCATGAAAAGAATAGGGAGAAAAGTGAAATAAAGAATATAAACTAATCACAGACATTTGGGTGTAATTATATGAATGAAGCAGCACTAAGAAAGCTCAGGTAGAAGAGTGTATAGATTAAATAGGTGTTTGGATATGATACCCCAGGATATAACAATAAATGCACAGTAAGGGAGCACGGGCCATTCAGAGGTATCAGCCAAAATCTACGGGGTCTGCCTATAGAGACCATGGATGTGTTGTAAGCATGATAGCTCAAGGGAGATGTAAGCTTTTTCCAGGATTAGTTGGAAGATTTTCGGTAAATATTTCATCATTGGAAAAATATCTCCAAAAGCTCTTGTGAGGAGGGGAAAAAAAGTTGAATATTTTCAAATTCATTTGGGGAAAAAAAAAAGTTCTCAAACTGGCAGTTCATTTTAACTCTTTCAAAATGAAAAGAAATGAAACTGAAAGGCTGGGACAGTTTCCTTTGTCAGCTAAACTGAATTTCATTTTCAGTGAATTGCTGAGACACCTAGTGGGCAGAGCTTGACCAAGATGAGAATATTCCAATATTGATTCCAAAGTATTTAGGATGGACTTTTCATCTTGAGACCAGAATGAATCATTTGTGAAAACATAAACTTCTCCTGGGGAGATTCCATTCATTTTACTAAGCACTCATCACAAGATTTTACTTTTGTCCATCTTGTGAACACACTGGGATTCCTTCCAAATCTATTTTGCAAACTCCAGAGCTATGTGATCATGCAGCTAGAGGATAGTCCCAGAGTGGCTGTGTCCCTGTCTCCTAATGCCTCTGAGATGCTCTCAATTCTAAATATAGACTGTTTAACCAAAACTATTACAAAATATATTCTGTTCAAATTATATGCCATTTAATATTTTATTTCCTTTGGTTTTATTGCAGAAACCAGTTTTACCATCCAGAGAGGCTTTAACTGTAAATGAAGGTAAATTATCTCTGCTACTGTGGGAGAAGTTGCCATTCATGAGAATTTCATTTTCACTATTAAAAACATGAACCACATCACATTCAGTTGATTGTTGGGTTTTGGAGAGCTTTTGGTTTTTAGCAGCACAGAAGTGGCTCCGGGCAGCCCCTGGTTGTGCTGAGCATCATTGTTCTCTAAAAACAGAGAGTTTTCAGAGATTGATGAGAGTTTTTAGTGATTGATCCTCACAGCCCAGCGAGGTTCCTGGCAGGGTAACATCCGCCATAACCGCCGGCACCGCGCCCCCCGTCAGGCCCCTTCTCCCGATTTCCTGACGGTGTTCGGGACACGGCCGCTTGCCTGCGGCCTCAGAGGCTGCCACCAGGCAATAAGGAAAGCAGCGGGGTGGCACCCTGCCACGGGAAATAAAAATCCCTCAAGTAGCGGGCGTCTCGTACTCGGGACAATATTTCTCTCAAAAAATCTTGACTCTACAATTTGTTTCCCCCAAATTACAGAGAAACCTACAGCAGCAGAGCGACGGCGAGCTTCCAGCCAAGAGCTTCCTCCTCCGCCCTTCCCAAGCGGCACCCCAAAGTAAATCCCTTTTCCTCTTCTTTTGAGTAGCTCCGTGTACCAGCCCCTACTGCGTGGTCTGGACACAGCTGGGGGAGGTTCAGAGAGCGCACTGGGTTCTGTAGCCTGCTGCCCATGCTGGGGTGTTTTGGGTTTTAAGTCACATTTCCTGAAGCCTCACAGTAGAGGGGAGGAGAGGGGAAAAAAAAGGGGGGGAAAAAAAACTAGAAATGTGTCCAAATACTGTAACCATCACCAAGAAGCATGAGTGGATACAGCCTCTACATAGGTAATGGAGAAGATTTAAGGCAGATGTTTAAATTCCTAATTGCCAGCAGGAACTGTTTTTTATTTATCTTTTAAATAGCTGTATCTATTCTTTATCTCTCAGTGGGCCAGTGGGTGAGCTGGACATGTTCCATCCTTGCATGCTTCCAAATACACAACTTTTGTGTTTTCAAAACTGGATAGATCTCCTCAGACTTTTCTATAACCTTTCCATATTTATTTCAGGTCTTTGCCCCCAAAGCCCTCAACTCTGCCAAGTAAGTATAATTTGGATTTTGAATTAAGAGGCCATTAATCTGTAAATTCAAATTGATCTTTGAATTAAGATTATTTTCAGATGCCATGTCTATTCATTAGAAGTATTTCTTTTTTAAATTGCACTCAGTCATGGTGTATTTATAAAGGCAAATGCTAAAGCTCTTCTGTAAATAATACTTTCCAAGAGGCACTTAAAAGTTTCAGTTCGCAGTTCAAAACAAATTAAGTAATTTGTATATGAACTCACTTCCACAGAGAAGTGTAAATTAGAGCTAATATTTCTTTAGTCTCTGCTTAGCAGACAGATATTTGACCTTCCTGTCAGCTCTTTCCTGCGTGTGTTTGTCTGAATTTATCTTTTATAATGTACCTGCGTGATGAGAACTACACATAGTTTGAATGTGGTCTAGCTTATACTTTGCACCCTGCTCTTACTACTTCCCCATATTTCCTGGAAACGGTTGCTTGATGTATTGCAGTTACAGTTCTTTTTGCACTGAGGAATCATAATAATGGTTCATGCTCTGTGATGGGCTGATGATCTTAAGCTTGTCTGTTCCTGTCACATGCAACTTCTGTGCTTCAACTTGGAGCAAAAATTCTTGCTAATCTCTTAAATGTAGTTACTGGAATATTAAATTTTGTGCTATTTGTATTACTTTGCTCTTTGAGGTCATCTGGTACTAACCAATGCTCTGATAAATGTCATTAACGCACCATTTTATGCCTTGGTCCCTAGCAACTTCATCACAGATGCAATTGGTCCCAATTGGCAATGTCTTTTCAGCAAAACCTACTCTCTCTTCCTTATCATCACACAAGTCTTGCACTAACATTTATTTTCTTCCTTAAAATCACTAATTTCCCATATGGCACATTATCAAATATTCTACCAAAGTCCACAGTGAGTAGAACAAACTATTCCCTTTTCACAGAAATTTAGTTATTTTTACAAAAGAGCTATAATGTTAGTCCCATTTGGTCTATTTAAGTAAATGTCAGTCTTTATCCTGATTCTTTTCCCTCCACATTTTAAAATATTCTTTCCTTTGAATTCTCTTCTAGAGCCTTGTGTTCTGTTGAGTCAGACAAAAAGGCCTGTTGCTGCTCAGGTCACTTTTTCCATTTTGTTAAATATAACTATTATGTTTGGTATTCTTCAGCCTGACTTGAAATTTATTTACAATAATTGCTACCAGCCCTGTAATTTCTTGTGCCAATTTTTCAAATTTTTGGAATAAAGTTTAGCTGGGCCTGCCAGCTCAAGTGCACTAAACATCCAAAGCTTTGCTTCCTACTTGGCTGTGGAAATTTCCATTCTGGCACCAGAACTCCTATTAATTTAGTACCTAGATTATCTTTAAACTCATTGCAACTCTTACTTCAGACAGTCCCATTTTCTCTTTTCATTTTTGCATGGCTAAGGAGCCTCTTACTCATTTTCTCTGTAAAGTGAAATTCACCCTGACTTCTGGCAGTTCTTAGTTCATACAATGGAATTGTCAGCTACAGCTTTTGCAGCCGGTCAGTCAAAATCTGTCAGGAAAACAAAGTTCTTAACAGTCTCCTCCAAGTGATTATTCATTCACCAAGAGCTGGAACTGCTCCTTACAACTCTCATCCTACATACATCCTTGAAATATACTACTTCCAGATAACTGCTGGAATAATTATCTACTCCTAAACTGCTAAATCTACTCCACACAGAAGTCTGAGTCCCTCTGAATCATTACCTAATGGCTGTAATACTCTTGCTACTTTCAGAAACCAAAATATAAATCAGAATTATATTAGTGACTATTTGGTAAAGCAGTCTGCAAATCATCCTATCCAGGACTAGGTGAGCACTAACAATACTAGTATCATTTTTTTTCCTAGTAAGTAAAACAAGCAGGAAATACAGCCTCCTATCTTGATAATTTCAACACTGGCCTTTCTGAGGAAATCTTCTCTTTTATACTAGAGATTTCTCTACCTGTACCTGCTTTCAGCCATGAAAGGTATTTTCTACTACGCTCTGTTTTCACAAGATAATATTGCATGTTTCCACTGTTATTTTCATACTTCATAGTCTTTCCTACCAGTGCTGCTTCTCTGTTTTGCTGTCTAGGCTTCTAGCATACATGTGCAAGCAATTGATTTGGATGAAATAAGTGATAAGTGATTGGTTTTGATGACTCCCTCACCCATGTGGCTACCTGTCACATTAGAGTACTTTTCATGCTCTCTTCTTGATCTTTCTTTATTCATTGCTATATTCTGATTTGCTTAGGATGTTTTCTTGCCTTGCATACTAAATACAGCTTTAGCTGTTAATCAAGTTATTTCCAAACTATTTCTCTCCTTTTATATGCAAGGATCTTCTTGTGGGAAGACAAAGCCCTCACATAGGGTCCATGCAAGTAGATTTCTCTCTTGAATGATACCACAGGTCAAATGTTCCCAGATCTTTCAAAACCATCACAACAAAACATAATGTACTTTGAAAACTTATACATGTTATTCTCTCTCTTTTCTAGAAGTGCCAGAAGCTGCAAACCGTTCTCTGGGTGCTTCCCCTCGCCACTGTTGTTCATCAGTTCCAAGTACTGCAGACCAGGTACAACATTAGCTAAAGGCACTTCTAATCACTTATTTTACTTAAAATAGTATTTCCCTTCCTAAGGCATATTCCTTTGCTGAGGCCACACACATTCCATTTTCCCTCTATATAAAGGCTTTGGAAACTTTATCTATGGCACAAATAATCTACATGTATGCTTTCATCCAAAATGTTTTAGAACATACAGAATAGGAGAGCTTCAACAAACTGCAGAAGAGAGAGGAGGGGAGGGGGGAAAAAAAAAAAAGCTTAAATAGCATTATACCAAGCCTGAGTGCTCTACCAGTCATTTTAAACAAAATCTGAAGAGTTTCTCAACTTAGTTTTCAGGTCTTCCCAAATCCCTAGCTCACAGTACTCAGACATCATCTGATACAAGGAACCTGTAGTTTAGCAAATTTAGTCTATCCCTTGAGAGAGATGACTATAAAGAGCTTTTAATTGCTGCCTTTTTTAATGTATTTTTTTTTTTTTTTTTTTTTTGTTTTTTTTTTGCCTGCTAGGGTCCGGAGGAAAAAAAAAAAAAAAAGATGTACAAAGCAGATACAGTGAAACCATCTACAGTTTTAACATTAGCCTGTGCTGATGAGATGTGCTAAGAAATTCCAGTAGCTTATAGAAGGAAAAGGAGGCAGCTCTGCTGCATAGCCCAACATGGCAGAATGCAATTGCAAACACCACCCTGTTCAGTGCCATTTGGGGTGTCAGCAAAGCTGAGAAGGCAGCTCATTTTCCTTCTCTGTGGAGTCTGTGATGCCTCCCACTACACTGGTCTACTCTTTTCAGCTCCATTAAATAGACCTCTTCCCATTACAGTTAATACTAAGGTAGTTTTATGAGTGTTTTCTCTGCTTTGTTCCATAAGCATTAAGATTATTCATCTAAGCAAACGCAAAGCTATTTTCATTTCTATACTGTATTCCTTCTTCCTCTTTTGGGTGAAGGGAGACCACAAGACACAGGAAGCCATCCTTATTAGCCTGGTAGTCACAAAGAAGGTAAAAATAGACCTGTTGAGTGCAAAACAAAGGCTCTGTTCTGCAGAGCCTGTCCAAAAGGCTGCCGTGGCCAAGATAATGCACCAGCGAGGAACACAAAGGCCTTGCAGTTCTGGAACAATTTTAACAGTATGTCGCACTAGATATTATTATAAAAACCGCTTTCAAATAAGCAATCCAGTAGACACTAAAATAAACGGCCTGTAACAATTATATTTACAGCTTTTGTGCAACACTCATAGGCAAAACCAGAGCCTTAAAATATCTATTTTGTTAAAAATGAAAATTAACTGCTGAAGTTGTGCTGTTTCCCACCAGTTATAATGGTGCTGCAGTACTGCCATTTGCTGCACCAACCAAGGGCTCTCAGGCTCGATTCGTGCTGCTACAGGCTCCTTACCTGCTTGGCTCCCCTCCAGCGCTGGCAGCAGCGATCTGCGCCTCGCGTTTACCTCAGAGATGGTGCCGGGCAGAAGGGCGGTCTGGGGCAGTTGATTCCTTCCTGCTAGCTGGACAAAGGCGGGTTTACCACACGCATTCCCATAGAGGCAGAGTACCTTGCATACTTGCAATTCCTTTCATCCTGTCCTCTTCCAATTAATTGCCTTACCAGAAAGACACGCTGAAGGACTTGGGGGTAAAGTTACATGATGCAGCTTGAGCCAGTCCAATAATTTTATGCCCACAAAGAGGAGGCTCTGTGCTCTCCTCACTGCCTCCCCGCTCCCAGCCATGTGCTTCCGTGGTGGTTGTCTGAGCGGGTGATGAGCTGAGCCCGTCGTTAAGCTCGTAAACCCACCTGGCAGGCCAACACAGGGGGAGGGGGGATAAGGTAGCATGGTTTGCCACAATTACCAGAGCAAACTGTCTCATCCTGGCGTTATAGGAGTCTAGTCCTTTGTTTCTGACCTTTCTTTATAGTCTTACCAAGGATCTCTTCTCCTCTACCTTTCTAATCTCACCATCTACACCCTACGCTTAAACTCCACTTTTGTACCCAAACACACACCCGAAAAATCATCCTCTTAATACCCTGTTTTCTACTGTATCATATTATCATAATCCCTTATCACACTCACTCTCAACTGCCATCATCTTCTCCCATCTCTTTATCTTTACACTTACCATGCTCCCAGACCTCTTATCTTCCAAGCCAGGATCTGCCTGTCTTTGAGTTGCCAATCTTCCTAGTTTGTATCTTTACCCAACCCTATGTCCCTATGATGAAGTCCTTTGCCCAGTGGCAAAGGGCACCTGAAGAGGTACTGGAAAGGTCCAACCACTGCAGACCTTGCCAAGTATGCAGTGAACAGAGCAGGGCAATCTTGGTTGAGGTGTTGACAGGGGAACACAGAAAGGAGGTACCCTAGAGGTATGTTATAAAATGCCAGCTCCTCTGCATTCTGTCACAGATGTAATCTTCGTCCATGGCACCCGAGAGAAACATGAGGTATCACACATCCGTCACCTCTGTTTGACACATTCCAATTTTTCTCTGTATAGCCTTTATCAACAAAAAACCACAAACTCATGGCAAACACTTCTTTGAATTCTGTTTTCTGAAGTGTTCTGCCTTTGAGTGCTTCAGTCATCGTAATTTAGTAGTAATTCTGCTATAGCCCAAGTTGTTATTTTATTTTACAAGCATTGTTTGATAGTACTATCAAATGATGTCAAAGAAGTAACTCACTCTCTCCCCCACCACCTCTCTCTCCAGGATGCTGGTGTTCATAGTAAAGCATGGTATGCTGCTACCTGTGACCGAAAAACAGCAGAGGATGCGTTGTATCGATCAAATAAGGTATTTCAGACTTACAAACTTTTTTTTCCTTGACAACTAGATATATTCTAAGATTGTGAGTTGTATGTTGAAAAAGTCAGAATACTACTCCATGCAGATGCCGTCAAGCCAGAAATTACTGTGGTGAAACTCTTACCTTCTATCCTTTCCAGCAACCACCAGTGTCCAATGGTTGAAACTGCTGGAAAAAAAAATACTGAACAGACTTTTTTATTTTTTTTTTTTTTTTTTTTTTTTTTTTTTTTAGGATGGATCTTTCTTAATAAGAAAGAGTTCCGGACAGGATTCAAGACAACCATACACACTGGTTGTGTTTTACAACCGAAGGGTATACAACATCCCTGTACGATTTATTGAATCCACACGACAATATGCACTGGGCAGAGAGAAAAGTGGTGAAGAGGTGAGAGGGTGATAGGGGTTTGGGGTTTTGTGTTTCTTGTTTGCTTTCTCCTCTCCACATTTAGTCTTTTGAGTTATATTGCTGTATAAGCAAAATTGCACTATGACCAGATGGATTATTTATGCATCAAGATAAAAATATGCCCTATATGATAACTGATTTACCAGACTACTTGAACCAGTTCAATATTTACCTACTGCACATTGTAACTAATTAAAACCATAGATCTAGTTTAAAAATATACTCATATAACCATTTTGAGCAGCTATGAGGATCAGAGCTACATTAGATATAAATTCTCCAGCCATTTCCAGTCTGCTGCTGATGTTTTACCTAGGTTCTGATAAATTTTCTTGGAAAGCTGTAAAGGCAGAACAGCTACACACCAATAATTTCCCAAAATAAAAAGTTACCACTGCTCCTTGTCTCAAACCTCCATCAATGAGTACTTTTAATCCTATTTTTCTTTATTGTAGAATGTTAAACTTCAGTTCCAGAGTGTAAAAATCACTGCTTGGCTATTACATCACACAGATAATTATTCTGACAGCTGCCCAGAGATTTGGAACTGAAATACCAATAAAAATTGGGTTTTATCACTGCATAGAGTAGGATTTTCAGTGAAGTTAGAGGCTTCCCTGAGCCTAATTATCAGCCTCCCAGGCAATGTTTTGAGGCTACAGAACAAATAATAGCCTGGAGCTCATATGGCCCTCAACAAAGCGTCAGAAATGACCTTGGGGTTGGAGGGGGAGATGGGGGTAGTGAAAGATACATACATACATACATATATATATGTGTGTGTGTGTGTGTGTGTACATGTGTATATACACACACACATATATAAACATATGTATATGCATATATTTGTGTGTGTATATATATATCTGGCTGAAGAGCAGCAGAGCTTGCAGATTCAGGGTATTAATTCACAGTGACAATCGGATTAAAAGTGCATAGCTGAAACAATTATCACTGCTAGCTCTCTGCACCATTTTACTCCCAGACACCACCAGCCCTCTATCAGGTGGCTGAACCACAAATCCAGCAGATCCCGAACTGCCACAGTTTGCAGTGTGGTGTATTAGGGCAAGCTGAAAGCGGTGGCAGTTTAATATGCCAGGTTGTAAATTGTATGGTTCAGTTTGTGCATGCAGCAACACTAAAAGGAAAGGAGCATGAGGTGAGAGAGCTAGTGGCAATAATCTCTTCCACTGTCCAAACTTAACTGTGATTAAAACCAGGACTAAGTACAGGACTAGTGCTCTTACTAAAAAGGTAGAGCATCTCACTTGATAATGGAAGTCTGAAGTCCACCATCTTCAGCAGTGGCAGAACCAAAGGTAAAAGGTAATAAAGTAATTACTGTCCATGTTACAGCATTAAAGGAAACTAACCCTACTAATTAATTTGTTTTCTCTATCCAGCGCTTTGACAGTGTTGCTGAAATAGTAGAGAATCATCAGCGCACATCCCTTGTTCTAATTGACAGCCAAAATAACACAAAAGACTCAACGAAACTGAAACATATTGTAAGAGTTTCATAAACTGAACTGCCACCCTCAAGCTTTTCTTAATCACTTCCTGCAACATCCCAGAATTTGTGGATCAGTTATTAAAGAAGATCATCCAAAATGACAGAGAATATTCTTTAAGAACATCTCCAAAGCAGTAAGAGATGCAGCTCATCAAGTTCAACCCCCTGACACCTTATCAGAAAAGCACTCGCATTCAAGAGAAGAAGCCACAGCAGGTTGTTGTATCCGTACTTTGCATCTATGACGAGGAGGGTTTCCAAAGTCCTATCAACACGTTCACGCTGCAGCCCGGTTCCTCGACTGCCCTTTGAAGGTAGAGTTCCTGGAGGAAATCCTCACCTTCAAAGTGAGAATGCTTCAAGTGACCTTCTCCTTGTTAAATTTACCACAGATCACAGCTTTCAGAAACTTCCTTGCAAAGTGCACAGCTCAGAAGTCAGAGTAACTCAGGCTGAGGTAGCACTGTGTATAAGCTGAAAGTAGGACTGCACTTCATGTGACTAGAGACAATAAAGCTACCTGTACTTTGAAGATTAATGAACACGCGTTGTTCTTTTCCTCAGCTTTACTTTCAGTGCTTCATTAATACATATATATGGGGTTTTTTGTATTTTCAATGTGAAAATAAATAAAAATGGTATGAAGTCAGTACTGTATGCAGGTATTGCTGGGTGTCACTCCTTAGCATCTTTCCACCAAAAGATGGTCAAGTCCTGTCTCTGATTTATCTTTAATGTACACGTTTGTATAAGCTTGTTCACAAATTCTGTTTTTTTTTTTTTTTTTTTTTTTTTTTTTTTTTTTTATATTTTAAGAAAGTTTCATAAGATCTCCAGTGTACATGTTTGGCTTACTAGTTCTTAAAATCTGTTATTTTCTCTTCCCGTTACTACTACTGAAGGCCCAGGCCCATTGCTTCCTTGCTAACCTACCTCATTTGTTGAAGAATTAGTTTTAAAAGACAAAAAAGAAAATGTAAGCCTGTTTTATGATGTAGTTTACTTACTCTTCTGTTACTGTGATCGAACTGTCATTACCACAACGAATAAAGACTTCAAGAGGGTTTGGGGAAAGCAGTGAAAATTAAACTGAGGTTATACAAACCATTTAAATGGAGGGAATTGTGGCTGGTAAAGCCTAAAGACAAACACGGTACAAAAAGCACCATTTTATATTTATGCTTTACTGTTTTCTTACATCAATTGCACCAGGGAAAAACTGCCTAGAAAATGTGGTTAGTTACCTCAAAAGGTGTTTTATTTCATGGGCTGTGAAAACTTATCAATCAAGATTTCTTCTAAAACTGACCCTCTCTACACCTTGGCTCTGTGCTTTATGCTCTGGACCAGGCACTATTCTCTCAGTTTGTCAGTAAGCTGTACTTGGTCCCAGATCTGCAAAGCTGGCAGAGCTCTCAGCAAGTCACCTACAGCTGTAGTCCACAACTACTTCCTCCTTATGATTTAGAGCAATTACTTTTAAAAATAATGCAACTCTCTTCTAGAATTGACTCTTTACTAACAGAAGAATATGGCTGTTCACCTTGCTTAAGCTTCAGTTTCTTCCCTGTGCAATACAGGTTAATACTTGATCCAACTATGAAGGAAATTAGATACTATCAGATAAGGGAATATGCACATCCATGCTTCATACAAACCTTATTATATACTGTCTACAGTACTGCAACAATTCTGTGTTTAATATGCTATTCAGTTTATTAATTGGTACTATGCCCTTTAACCATATCAAACATCTCTTCACAAAGTTCTTATTTAAGCAATACTTGTAATGGACACTATCCCTTGAATAAGCAGCTACTTCCTAATTAGGTTTCTTCCTGGTCACTCCTTGCCTTTATTCACTCCTAGACTCCACATCATTTAACCCTTGTTCTTAAGAAAACTGTTTCTTGCGGGTCTTTAGATGGAGCTCCTCAAAAGTATTGAGGTTCTCCACATATATTTCTTCTGAAGTAAATATAGGGTAGCCTGGTCAAGCTACAACTGGGGAGAAAAAGGCAAAGAAAAGCACAACCCAAGTGTGGCTACGGACTTCTGTGTGTGAGACCAGGTACCATAATTTTTTCATTGTAATTAGCAATGCTGAGCACTTCACCTACTGAAAGCACTGCAGCCCTCAGGCTCTACATTGCTCATGGCTGGCCTACAACTACCATGGTATGTTCCACATAAACATTCATCTTTCCCTTTTAGCAGTTCTCTGCCCTATTACATGGTATCTTAATATTTCATCAACAAAATGAGGCAAAGATTTAGCAGGCAATAGCTTTTCTGCCTGCCTGATACAGAAATGAGAGTACAATGAGCACTGCAAATTATTCCTGTCAGTTGTTCCATGAAAGCAGTCAGAACTTGCATTCTCAAAAATTCACGCGTTCAGACATGCAAGTTACAAAACTACATTCTTCCTTCAGTCTAAATCACCAATAGCAGTCAGAGATTCTTAGGAAATGCTATTAAAAAAAAAAAAAAAAGTTAGATGACAACAGCCTAGAACAAATGTTAGACACAAGTTTTTTGTTAAAATTTTGGAATTCTTGAAGTAGAAAAAAAAACATGAATTACTGATGTTATAAAGAATACACAATGGGCTAGATTTTAGGCCTCCTTTAAAGTCACTTTACACAATCAGAAACACCGTACAAGGCCACATCTACATTTACATGTTTTTCTCAAAAGAAAAATATTTGTTGACCCTGATCTTGCACCTATTTCTGCATAGCCCTAAGCACAAAAGACAAGTTTTATCTTGCTATCTGCACAATATTACAAGCTTTCTTTACAGAGTTAAACACCCAAAAAACGAACAGTTTTCAAATTAAGAAACCTCGGCAACCCGGTCAGATCAGAGATATCTGTTACAATACGGGCATTACACATATGATCATTTACTATTTCCACATAGATTTACATGTTTCATTTAGTTCAGAAGTGGTATTTAAGGGATAAATTGTAGTGTGTAAAGACCGATATTTTTTTTTTGGATGTGCCCACTTACTGAAGAAGCTGAGAGGAGTGTTAAGCAGCGTTGCAGGAATCTGCCTGCAGAAAGGGAGTCTCGTACAGTCAAGGCAGTTGACCATTTCATTCAAGAACTCGGTATCGCCCCTGCACCATTTACACACCCACCGTGATGCTCTCAATTTGTTTAAGCCTGACTTTCTACTGAGGGTCTGTAACTGTGATCTTTGCAACCTAATTTAATGGAAGTCTGACCCAAGAGATTCCTTGGAATCTGATCTACAGCAGAACTCTTAAGACTTCAAGTGGAGCATTCAGCAAAAGCTCATAATAAAGAATTCTATATTTGGAACAATACTTGAACAATGTGCATTAAATAATATAGAGGCAAAGCTAAGAGTAGGGAAACAAACTGTTAAATCACTGCTCAGCAGTGAGGAACAGCTCAGTACTGAAAGAAAAATGTCCATGGACAAAATCACATGTGACAGTGAATTAAGATCAAATAAAACAACCTTATTTCAACATTTCCAGATTTTACAGTGTTCTTCTGCACAGTACTGCATATGGCTCCCAAATTCATAGGAAAACAAGCTGATGGGAAAAGAAAAATGAAATGACAGCAGGTTGACACCTGATGATTCATCAAGACGCTTGCACATAATCTGCCACCAAGGCTCAATACAGCTCCTGGATCCATTAGGAAGGTGGAGGACAAGACCCTGTCAGCACCGCGGAGCAGACAAGGACCTTGTTCACACACCCTCATACGGACATTAAGCAGCAGGAAGCTCCCTCCTCTGCAGATCACCCTTACAGTAACCGACAGGAAGCACGGAGGCTCCGGCAAGTCCTACCCTCCTGGCCAGTAAAATGAGAGAGGAGTAACTGAAGCCCGGACTTTACCAAATATATTAAAAAGCAGATCATCTGAGTATGCAACAAGGAAATACTATGTAGTCATTATGGGGGCACATTACTTCCACCTGGAAAAATACTACTATCCAGTTACAGGCCTGAAACGTTGCTCTACCCTTCCTTATAAGCTGCCTCTCTTACAGGGTTTGTGTCAGACACAGTATAAAACAAAAACATTTTCTATAAATGCTTATAGTCATATTCTGTAAACACAAGTTATACCAAATTTAATAGCGATAGAGTCAATACAGATTAGGAATGTTTACCCTTCTTAAACACCATATACATTATGAATATATATACTGTATATTTTCAACTGATTCCATTCTCAGGCTCACTGTATTAAACACAATTGTAACATGTTTTATTAATTTATATGAAAAATACTTCACTAAGAAAGTAGACAAACTGCACAGAAATAGTACAAGTGTCATGTGCATAGCAATATAGCTTAAAGCATTCACATATGGCTTTTTTTAAATGAAACTGGGGAAATGGTCCTATTTGGACCTATGGTTACACAGTTGACAATGTAAACTGCTTCACATCTTTTAGGCACTTGCTAACAATAGTGTTCAATCCCTGAAAAATAAAATCAAGAGCTAACAAGTGGAAAAAAACCCCAGGATAGCAACTGTGTGTAGCTGAAAAAAAAAAAAGATAAAAATTTATTTTAGTAGTGCATGCACAGAAATGAAAAATAAAGGAGGGCGGGGAAAATAACTTCTGTGCAAAAATTATATCAAATAACTGCAAAGTATAAAAATATTTACATGTTTAGGTTTCTTAAGTATTTACAGAACAAAAGCCCTGAAGACTCATTCTATAGAATAAAAATATAGGACATGATAATAGTAACAAAAAATAATATATATTTTTATGAAATTGTTTTTTCAATTAGTTACAAGTCATCTAAACCACAAAGTCCCTTGATGTATCACAAAGCCTGATGCCAGCAGAGAATCTGTTCTTCCTTTTAAAATACATCCATTTTGCATTATATTTAAATTTCAGTTACAAAACTGAAACCCAGAACAAAATGACTTGTGCATCATAATTCAACTAGATTCTCTTTCTCAAAGGTATACTGCATGGTATTTAAGATTTTCCTTCTTCACTGGTCATCATTACCCTAATGAATTCCAATCTCGAGTAGCCTCCATCAGATGCCTCTGTCCGTGTCCTACCCAATTATCCTGATTGTCAAATATTCTACCACAAAACCAGCAGCTAAACTTAGCTTTCAAGGTGTTATTAGAGGTAGTTTTTACAATCTGGTAATTGTTTTTGCTAGTTTTTTTCAGTGTCAATTTTAACACAAATCTTTCTTTTACAGGGCTGATAGGTTTTATTGTCCTATGCCTCTTTTGAGAAAGATCCTCAGTAGTTCGGTCCAAACCATTACAGAAAGCTGGCTCCAGGAGAGCTTCAATAGTTCTTTTTGACAACGAAACCTTAAGAACGTGTCCTTTGAATTTAGCAATGGTTTTCATTACATTTACTACTTCTGGAACATCAGCATCGGGATGGTTAAGTACAACAACTGGCTGATTTCGCCGGGGACATTTCACAAGCTGTTTAGAATTAAAAGGAAGTAGTTTCAAAGTCCTCACAGTATCCTTTGATGCCCTTGGTTTGTAAGGGCCACCTGATTCACTAACAACTCCAGTTTGATTCTTTTCCTTGCACTTCCTGTGTAACATCACCTTCTTTCTTGGAGGTTCTGAGTAATCATCCTTTCTTTTTCGTTTGAAATTCTTGTTTCTCTGCAAAACCACAGTTTCTGAACCTTGGGGCCCTGTTTGTTTTAAACGAGGTTTTACTTTTGCGATTCTGTTTCTGGTGCTCCATGTGGACTTGTGGCTAGCACAGCGATTCCTGTTGTTAGCCGTTACTACCTGCGTGCTCTCGCCAGAACCTTTCTGCAAAAGTGTCCCTGCAGGTTTGGCAGAACATACTGGTTCTACAGGACGAATACAACAGGCTGGACTGGAGCTTGCCACAGAGGCATTTGCTGGCATGAACCTACTTGGTAATATTAAGGCATCACTAGAATTAAGATTAGCTTGTTTGTTTGCTAGTGCAGGGGTAGGGGACTGCGTGTTGTCCACGTGTAGTGAGGGCAGTGAGCTGCTGACCAACCGATCTGCATCTGCCAGGGACTCTGAAGAGGAAGTCCTAATTTTCACCAAAAGCTTTTGTTGCATGGCTCCAGTTTTCTTTGGTTGACAATTTTGATGATAAGCATTATCCTGAAAAACACTACGTTTCTGTACTACAGGCTTGTTTGGTGTCATACATTTCAGAAAAACGGCCTGCTGTCCATCAGGTAAAAGCGCATAAACACGTTTCTGTTGAACTTCCTGTTCTTCTGCTGACTCCAAGGAACCAAAGACAGCATTCTGATGCTCTGTTAACACTTTCACAGAAGAAATTCCTTTCACAGATGACTCGGATGAGTTTGTAATTACCAGGGGTCCTTTGAATGGCATGCTATTCGACGAGTCATTTGCTATACTACACGTTTTCCTATTACTGGAACTTCTCGTTCTTCTAAAACTGTCGTTTTTCACATCTGCTTTTGAAGCTGGTATGGTTATTTTACCATATTCTCTGGATGCTGCTCTTCCTAAAACATGAGAACTATCACTAGGGACATTTGCAACTGTTCCAATTGCCCCACTAAAAGTCAAAATCATTCCAGGTCCTTTATTTAAAACAAAAGAGGCAGGTACCCCTTTAGTCAAAGGGCCATCCGACGAACTGGTGGATGGAAGAGATTTTCCTGAAACAACCTGCAATCCAGGTTGATTAGCAAGGTGCAAAGGTACAAAAAATCCTGATGGAGGTGACTGAACTAGAAGAGCTTTCTTCTGTTCTTGATGCACCGGTGAAAAGCTACAACTTTGGGCTGTAGACTGCATTTTCTGTAACTGCTGCATTACGGATGCATCTGCATCAGTTTTAAGCAACTTATCAACATCTGCAGCTCTGGATAATTTACTCGCCCCCTGTGAATCAAATGATGCCCTGGATATCTTTCCTTCCCTCCCACAATGTATGCCTTCATTTGCGCTACATCTCAAGCTCAAGTCTCTCTCACATAAAGGAAAGGCTACATTAGGAGGCGGCCTCTGACACTCACACACAGTTGCTGGGCTCTTTAACTGCACAAAGGCTTCATTTCCTGTGTCACGACTCGAAAGCAACTTGTCAGAATGAAGTTTTACACAGTTATTTGACTTGCTGTGGAATTCTTGCTGAGTAGTTGCTTTCACTTTTAACACATCTTGCAATAACTGATTTATTTCAGGGGACAAATAATTAGCTGCCTGTTCACTCTGTAATGAGAAAACTGACGTGATTTTAGGCATTAAGGCTGAGTTAACACAATCCATGGCATTTTCTTGAAATTTCTCTGCTACGTTCACAAAGCCCTGATTTACGTTAGTGTCCAAATACTGCTGGCCATTACTATGCTGGTCTTCCACAAAACACTCTCTGCCAATAACGCATTTAGACTGGCTTTTAGAAGACATGTAGTTATTCTTAGTGTTTATGTGTCCGTAGGTTTTATTAATATTTGATGGAGATGATACAATTTTTTCTGGCTTTAAGCCTTTTACTAACTCTGAAAATGAAGATGGAGATTCGCCTCTCCTACTGTTTTGAAAAGAAAATGTTTTGCTGGGTAAAAATTCTTTAGTTTTGTCATCTGATGACATCCAAATGCTACACTGGTTATCTGAAGTGTCAATTTTTGAATAATTATGAAAAGAAAGCAACCCTTCATTAGAAGAATCAACGGAAGATGAATAACACAGATTATTAGTTCCATTATTATTATTATTCAGGCCACCGTTTTGCTTTTTCAATTCCGGGAAGAAGGGCATTTTCATAGGGTCACAATGAAGGGAATTGGCAATCGTAGGTGGCAATACCTGAGGAGGACTCGGAGGACTATAGCTTCCCCATGAGACAGTACTTCGAGTTCCAACTTTTGTCACCTCATCACATGGAGGCACAGTTGAGCCCAACTTCATTTGCAAATGACTTGAACTTTTTTCCACAGCTACATTCGGTGCTACAGTTTGGGAAATACCTCTACCACACAATGAGGAGTTATTTTGTTTCTCCACTTTTGTTTTTCCTGAATGAAGAGCAGAAAAAGAGAACGGAGTAGAGGTTAATGCGTGAACATGGTTGTTCTTCAAGGCTGTCTGCTCAGTCACATGTGATAAAGCACCTGAAGATAAGCTACAGCCATCAGCAGTCTGTAGCAAAGATGCAGGGCTATCCTTAACTGCATCAGCTTTCTGACCCAACAAATGTGAGTTTTGCTTACTCGTAGGTAATAACTTTATAACAATATGTTGCTTTCCATCTACCATTTTAAATCCCATAAATTTAGCGCTGTAATTTGCAGGAACTGAGATTTTATTATTTTTGACCATCAATACTGTGGGCCCATGAACAGCATTCTTCAGTAATCCCAGGCCATAACTGGCTCCATCATCTGCTTTATTGTATTGAGTAGTAGCAGCAGAGAGCATCCCACCTGTGAAATTATGCTTTTCGCTATATATAATTTCACCTTTTTCTTCATTTGCTTCCACATCTCTTACAAACTGGTTCTGCTCCTCAGGTTTCAGGTGGATTTTATTCCTACTTCTTAATATTTGTGAATTTTCTTCAGGATTGTCACTCCCACTGCTTATCTTTTTCCGTCTCCAGAGTGCTTTCTTTGATGTTCCCGTTTTATACCTTTTTAACACGAGCTTTAATCCCGCAGAGGTCTTTACTAGTCTTTTCTCGCATTTATCCTTTTCCAGTTTTTCTTTTGCATACAGGTGGTCTCTATGCAAAGCTATAATGTGTTTTAAAAGATAATCTTTCCGTGGCGTGCTGTAAGTGCAGTACTGACAACCAAAAGGAAACGTACCAGCATGGACAAGAAGATGTTTCTGGAACTCCTCTTTTGTAAAGCTCATGTGACGGCATTTTCCACAGTTATATGGAACCTCATTATGTCTGTGAATGTGCTGAACAAATGTGCCCACATCCTGGGTAGAAAACCCACATTTTTCACATTGAAAGTGACCATTTACACAATGCTTTGCTGTGAAGTGTTTTGTCAAATCCAACAAAGTGTACATATGCTCATCATTACAGAGCTCACATTTGACTAAAGTGCTGCGATGGGTGCGTCTATGCTGTTTGAAGGACTGAAAGTCATTAGCTGAGAAGTTACACATTTCACAAGGATACAAAGGCAATTCGCCATAGTGTAACAACTGAAAATGTTTCTGTAGATCATTTGGGCTGTATCGAATATTATCCTTGCACTTTGTGCAAGTGAAATTAAGTATCTTTGCTGTCGTTTTCAACCCTTCCTCAAATTGCACTTCTGGTTTATTTTGCAAGTGGCTTCCCTCTGAACAACTGGGACTGCTTCCGTTTATTTTCTCCAGATTTAAAGACTTCCTTGCAGTCTGCTGTTTACACTGAAACAATTTCCTAAATCTATCAACTTCATGTTTCATTAATACTTCATTTGGAATGTTCACCTTGGGTAAATCAATTTTCACATTTTTCAATCCATAAGAGAAACTGACATCTACAATTGCTGGCCGAGGCATCATACTTAGAGTATCATTCACCAGTGCTTTTTCCAAAGTAGTATCCATAGAAAGTTTCTTTGCAGCATTGTGGTTTAATAAATTATTTTTTTCCTTATCACAAAAAATCCGTTCCTTTTCCGATGGCATTGTTTTAAGTATTCCTTCTCCTTTTGGGGGAATTCTTGAGATTTGTCTTAGATCCTGCAGCAAACTACCATGCAGAATTATCCTCAAGGTTCTAGAACTTCCCCATTTTATTCCCCTGAAATTAGAAAACAAACATAGCAAATATTATTTCTAGAGCAAATGCAATGAGAACAGATTACAATCCATTAATGAACACATGGCAATCTTTGAAGTCATCGCTATAGTAGCATTTGAAAGAAAGAAAAAAAAAAGCATAAGGCAAAAAGAAGGCACTATATTATACCTTTTTTTTTTTTAAAAAAAGCAACACATTTATGGGGTGAGGTGGGGGGAGGGAACCTTTAAGGGATAGCTACTGAAAACGAGGAAAATATTTTGGTACTTCATTACTTCGATTTTTATCCTGCTACAGCACTGTAAACATCAGAACTGAAGATTTTTGCTTTTAAATGAAGTTAGTACTTGCTTTGGGATCCGATAAGCCCAGATTTTCATGCAAATATAAACTCACTACCTCCTCTGTGACATGGGTCATTAATTGTGCCTAGTCGAAGTACTAAAAACAAGCCAAACTCAACAGAAGTTTTATTATTATTATTATTATTACAGGCTATTAATTTCACAGTAGGTAACTATTGTTCTTTAAAAAAAAAAAGAAAAAAAAAAGATTTCTTTCACTAATGGAAAAGTGACCATTATCAACACACAGAGCACCAAACCAACTCAGTCATCACAAATGAGTCATGAGGCCACCTTTAGTATCACATAATCGAAAGGTACAAGTTTAAAGTAGTAGAAACCAGTCAGCAGATGTAAGTTTAATTCTGTTTCGCGCTATAGGTTCTACTATAGTTTTTTTTTCTTCAGAACACGAGTATGAGAGTGAGCGGTACTTCCCCATGGATTCAGAGGCTTGAGTGGGTAAGCTCAGTATCCTTCTCTTTCTGTGGATTTCACATTGACGATTCTATAGTGGGCTCCACTGACACTTTACACTCAAAACAACACTCTCACGTGTCAACATATATCAGCAGAAACAGAATGACACAGAAAACAACTTCCACTTCAAAAAGTGAAGGGGAAAAGGAACACTGGAGTTGTACTCCACTCACTCTTGCCTTCTATATTGTGTTTTTTGCTAAATACTTTTTTCAATAGTGAAAAAGCCATAGCATCACTGTCTTCTTCAGTTGCAGAAATTAGTAAGTCATTGGCTGAAATCTGATCAGATCCCTCCCCCTGTTCCCCTGTCCACCCTGAAGCAATAAAAAATTGGAAGTCATCAGATCATCCTATTTATTCACATTTAAACTGAAAGAATAATCACACCCGCGCCCTATAGCACTCAAGTACAAGACCTTCAAGCCATTATAGTCAGCATCACTAAGGTCTTCCAAATATTTTCTCATAAACCTATGAAATGAGAGGATCTAGTATTAAACACGTAAATATTCAACACAAAAAAAAGGAGAATATTTTCAAGGCCATTTTTATGTACCCCAGCCAGAAGTAAGAAAAGCAAAACATATTTTTTAATATATGTTTTATTGTATTCTTAGAAAAGGATATTAACAATTCTACACAATCCTTGAAAATATCATAAGCAAACATCTCTACCTTTTATAAGGGTTTCATTATTAAATTCAATTAATCCTATTCTTCAATTACAAGACCACACACTTTTCAACTATACATTTGATACTCAAAGCAACTTTAAGAAACCACACCACACTGGGAGTCTCTAAAATTACTACTAGGCATTCCATCCTTTTTTTTCAATTGAACAATACATTTCCTGTCTTCCACACTGACGATTAATACATGTGATATTGCTCTACTCTGAGCATTAAGAACAATTCACATATATTACACCCCATCTGCACCAAAAAATACTGTATTATAATGCTTGCTCCTGCCAGTGCCAAACCCCTTGAGGCTGAATAGGAGTAAGTTGGACTACAACATAAATAAGTGACCAAAACATGGCCTGGGTGTGTCGCCTGACAAACATTTATAAATACAAAGATGCCATGAAGCTTACAGGTTGCATCATATAGTATATTATCCCCAAATAGCAGCCTGTTTTTCAAATTAAAAGGGAATACTGTCAGATACTAAAACCTGAAATATTTATACGACAGTATAAAACCAAAAATGGATTCAAAATGGTGCAGACACCAAACCTCAAGCTTTTAATGCGGGGCTGGTGTGCTCCTCGGTTGGGCATCCTTTCATTAATCAGATAAAGTGTAAATATGCTTTGCAAAGTATCTCAGCTGGACATTTCCAAACTGCACTGAGATCTCTAGATAATTAACCATGAAAAGTAATTTTGTTATTACTGGGCACCATGCAAATATCTACAAACACTTTCAGCATAGTAAATGACACTATTAACTTGTATAATTAAAAAAAAGGATCTTTATTTTATCAAAAAAAAATCAAACTTACTCATCAAGAATAGACTAGACTTCAATTCTTCAACAGCCTTTTTAACATTTTCCCACTCTCACAGAAGAGGTAAATATATAAAACTCGTAAAAGGCCACAGTCAGGAGAAAAGCTGAAAGAACGTCTGCAAACAAAAAGACAGATATTTTTAAAGGTATGAATGAAAGCATGACGGAAATCCTTCTATCTTAAGTTGCATGCATTTTTTAAATTAGAAAAAAAAAGTAAACACACCATCTTCTCCCTCATCAGAGAACAACACTGAATACATCACAAACTGTAAATTTATGATTGGAATTAAGAGAAAGCAATCAAGCTCCTCCTAAAACTTCTTTTTTTTTTTTTTAATCTTCATTCTGCAATTATTCACAGGCATTCTTAACTGTGGCAAGTATACAGGCATAATAAATGCTAAAAATACTAATTGGCACTTCAGTCCATCAAACTTTAACTTTAACCTAACAGAAGCTTGTCTTGGAGCAAAACAAAAAATAAACCACAGGAAAAAAAAAACTTAGGGAACTAAAGAAAAAGTAATTTCCATCAAAAATTTTGCAAAACTAAAGGAGAAAAAAGTGGTACATGCACAATACTTGGAACATCTTTGAAATTAAATATGAAAGCAAGCAGACTGTTAAATAGATATCATGAACACAAACTCTGAAAATATTTAAAGTGGACAGTGAACATAAAGCTACTCACGCACACACAAAAAGTGCAAGTGCAGAGCAATTTCTAAACCTCGTTTTTTTCACTCTATGGGTGCTTCGATAAGTGTTTTGTCAAAAAAAAAAAAAGCACATGGAGAAAAAAAAAGTTTCAGTTACATAACTTAATCTAGCAAGAAGAGATAAATAAGAGAGCCCTGAGTTTAGTACCTTTTGGGAGGCGATTTTGCATTTAATTAAAAATAAGAATATTTTTTTTAAAAAAGGGAGCTGCAGACGCCCTCCCCGGCGGGAGCACTGCCAGGATTCCCGCAGCACCCGCGCAC